CCCTTATAGGTTACTCTTTGTTTCTCCCTTGCTGCTTTCAGGATTCTCTCCTTATCCTTAGTTCTGGCAAATTTAACTATGATATGCCTTGATGGTTTTCTTTTGGGGTCGAATCTATATGGTGTTCGTTGAACTTCCTGAATATATATTCTCTCATTCTTCATTATGTCTGGGAAGTTTTCCTCTAGTAACTCCAGAGGAGCGAAGACTGTGAGACCCCAGAGGAACGAAGACTACGGGACTATTGTTGTTAAGTGCCTTCGAGTTGTAGATGACTCATAGCTACCCAGTGAACGAAAGTCCTTGACACTTGCGTGATTTTCATCTTTTCTCCAGGTTCATAGGGTTTCCAGAGGCAAGCTATTTATGGAAGTGGATGCCACTCCAGCTTCCAAGCTTGTTTTAATTGGGAGCTCCACTAAACACTGTCCACCATAGGTAACCACTGACACATCAGTGTCACAGTGTTTGGCTTCACAGCAAACACTAGTTACCTCTGTACGTGGACAGATCAGGGCTATACAATTTAGAAGAATGTTTGCCTGTAAAACAAAATGATATCATATTCTCTTTAATATATAATTGCATTTCCTTGGTCAGTTCTTTCTTTTTGTTCACGAAACAACAAGCCCTACTCTAGACAAATCCTTTTTTATGCTGTTGTTAGCAAGTTAGTTATATTTATTGTGAGGAGGTAAGTACGTCTGGGAAAAAATAAAGGACAAAAGAAAGTGTTTATCAGCAGTCCTATACTTGTACCTCCATTTTTTACACTTTCCTTTTCCTCTGGAGATGGCTTAATGAATATATTTTAGAAGACTTTCTGGTTCTATTCAGGAATGGGCTGCTAAGTCTCTTAACAGCTGGCTTTTGGGGAGATAGGGTGCCTTTATAATGTTATGTTTGCCAATTTTGTGCTGTAAGTATTTCTTACCATAGTTCGTTACAGTACTCCATTATGAAGTCGCTGAACACAGTCTTGAGAAGAGACTAAAAATCAGCTCTCCAAATGCACACTGCTTGCTTTTTTTGTTATGAAGCTGTTTAATCTGAAATGGAAACACATTTGGTACAACACAATATTATACATTTAACTGTAAAAAATCATTGAGGAATGGCAAAAAAATAACATACAGTTTTAATCCTAAATTAGAATATGTCTAGCAAGCTAGTGTTTTGTCTCCAAAATCTGTTGGAATCTGTACTGACCTATCCTGTTAGCTGAAATTTATTTTATTAAATTCCTAATGCAAACTTTTGAAGTGTAAATCAGAATATAAAGTACTTAGACATAAACATGTTAAATTCACTTTGTTGTCTCGGAATTTAAAAATCCCCTTCATTTAGACTTATATATGTATGTCAATTACAATTAAGTTTGTAGGTGATTTAATAAAACAGTATAGATATGTAAAGTTTTAAATCATGCATACCATTTATTTTAAATACTTGAAAATAAGATTAGTTTTGTATTTGGTGTTTTGGAATGTCTTCTCTTTAATTTCAGCGGAGTGTGGAATGTACCATATATGGCTAATGTGTACTTAATTAAAGGAGAGATTCTGCGGTCAGAGATGAGGGAAAGGAACTATTTTGTTCGTGATAAATTGGATCCCGATATGGCTCTTTGCCGAAATGCTAGAGAAATGGTAAGATACATAATAATAGCTTGCTTGAATGTAGTTTTTGACATGGCTTGCTTTACCATTCTGTGTGTCACTGTTTTTTTTTAATATCCTTTTTGTTTCTAATTTGCAAGTACTCGCCAATTTTTTTGTTTATAGATTAGAAAATTGAGAACAACTTTGGGGAACAATTTGCAAATATTTATCAGTAAAAGAACAATTTGAAAATGTTAGAGCTGAAGCCCAGGCTAATTCATATACAACAGGAGATTTTCAGTAGTAAACATAGAACTGTTACAAATCAACTTGGTACATTTAAGTCTCACTACTCTAATTTGAAAATGTTTAATGAAAAGTGCACTAAATTATAATTCACTAACTCTTGATGAGAAACTCATTTATGTAAGTAAAAAATTATATGTTTTGATTCTGAAATAAGTATATGTTTTTGCTAGGAAAATGTACTTACACAGCACATTACATCACATCTTTCAAACGCAGATGTGTTACCTTTAAGTTGACAGAAAGGATCAGAGATGTCATATAGTAAATTTACATGAGAAATGAATATACTGCTCATTTTCAAATGTTTTATAAAGTTTAGATGTCTAGGAAATGAAGTTTGTCTGACAAAATATATAAATATGCTTCAACACATATTTATATGATTGTCTCTTAAAGTGATTTGGCTAATTTATTAACACATTTATATAAGCAAGTATAATCTGGGGGAAAAATCAGAAAAGTTGGCAAGTATTTTGCTAATTGTTCTTAATTTAACAAGGCATGTATATTGTGTGAATATGTTTGTTTTCCTTCGAATCTGTGTAAATTGTTATGCTGAACATTCTCAGTACCTGGATTATAATTTGTGCTCATGTTTGGCTAATTTTGACCCAACAGTGCATCCTGGAATGGCCTGTCTCTTACTTATTTTTTTTATTTTTTGCCTTAATTTTGTGTCTGAAAGTTCTGCTAAGGAATGAGCTTGGACTTTGTTTTACCCACCACTCCCCAACCCCCCTCAAAACGAAAAAGAGAACGAAAGGCTGGAGCTGTACTTTATATGTGTGCTATAAGCTTGGCTTGTTCTGCATGTTTGTCTCCAAAGGGCGTTTCAGAATGTCAGCTTTTGATCAAGACCTGCTATTTTGTCTGCTTGAGAGAGAGTGTGTTCAGGTCAACTTACCCAATGCTTCTCTTCATTTTAGACTTTACAAAGGGAAAAAGACTCCCCTACTCCGGAAACATTCCAAATGCTCAGCCCCCCAAAGGTGTTATTTTATTTATTTTTAAACTTGCTTTTATTTATGTATTAACAATATATATGGTATATTTTGGAACTTAAAATTTCTTTAAGAAGATTTTTTTTAATTCAGTTGATAAAATATTGATATTCTTTGAGATTAATCAGCATATGGGCTTATTTATATGTATACCCAAGAAAGAGATACATGTGTATGTGTGTGTGCAAGAGAGAGAGAGAGAATTTGATTCTTTGAGTCTTGATTTTAGGGAAAGATTTGGATTTTAAAGTATATTGGGATTAAAATAAGATTTTAATGATCTTCATTACTTTTTTTTTAAAGAAGAATACTCACTAACCTTTTTACCATTAAAACAGGTACAAGAGAAAAAAAGCAAACACCTTATCTTGGTCATGTTTGCCATATTTATTTGGGCTTTGGTAAAGATATGGAAGTGATTTTTTTTTTAACTACCTCATAATACATTTTGATTAATTATTTTTTCAATTTTTAATCATTGAGAAAAGAGTAAAAAACGGATGGAATAATACTGATATTTGTTAGTTTTTTTAAAATGTGATATTATTTTAAATGGGAAGAAGTCAAAAGAAGTATAATTCATTGCACTGTGGTATCTTAAAAATGTTTCTGCTTTCAAACAGGCATTTCTTTTCCGATGTCTCCATCTAGGATCAGTGAGAAAGGGACAAAATCAATCCATTCTTCCTCTTCTTATTTTCAGTTGAGTGTCAGTGCTGTCAATTAGTTTTCTGTGGTGTCTGCGTTCATAATTAATCAAAATTTCATTTTTTTAAAAACCATGCACGTTTTTACATGAAAAATAAGAATGCATGTTCATGAGAAAAATAAAAAATTTGGAGTCATATTTCATTTTATGTTTTTCCCATGGTTAAATGAATTTTCCTGTATTAGCCTGTAAAATTGTTAATACGTTGTACTTTTTGCATACAGGGTGTGTTTATGTACATCACCAATAGACATGAATTTGGAAGGCTGTTATCCACTGCTAATTACAATACTTCTCATTATAACAATGACCTCTGGCAGATATTTGAAAATCCAGTGGTATGTACTTCATTTGGGGCTTCATTTTTTTTTTTTGTTTGTTTTCTCATAACTAAATAGATGTAATTCAATTGAGTGATATAAAATATGTTAAGTGACTTTTAAAAATTATAATAATTGATTTTATATCATGTCTTATAGATTAGGTCTCAACCAAGAAATATTTTTATTTAGACATAACAGGTTTAGAGATTAATGGTATTAATTCCTTTGCTCTCACCTAATATGTTGGTTTACACATTCATAATACCATTTTGTTCTTAATCATAGTTTCAGAAAATCATCTACAGATAATGCAAAGAGGAAAGTATTACATTTTTTTTCATAAGGGAACTTTAATAATTTCTCTTGGGAAAATAGATTTTTGTCATCATGTTTCTCTTTTATAACAGTTTGGTGAATGTGTACCAAAAATAGCCAGAAATAATTCAATAGTCTAGAAATTTATTCTTGTTTGGTTACGATTTTTTGGTTGGTTTTTTTGTTTTTGTTTTTGTTGGTCTTACTTGGTGATCTATCTCTTTACAACTACTGTTTGCCCCTCTCCCTGTCACAATAGTAGGACTTTCATATTTCCCAAACCTAATCTCCTAGAGGTAAGAATTATCTTTTTTTTATTTTATAGGTAGAGTTGAAATCCAAGAATAGTAAATGTAATCATCTTTTGAATACTCTCTTGAATAGGAAAAGAATATCTTTTAGCATATTTGCATTTTAAAAGTACTTTTGTTCCATCTTGAGTACAAATCTTTAATTTTCACACAAGTTAAATTGAAAAAACTTTGTATTAAGCTGGAATTACACATTTTATCTTGACATTCAAACTCTTGGTGTTTTGAGGAGTATAATGATTCTATTTCTTTAGAAATGTTATTTTCTTGGTGAAATGTTTTATATTATAACTAATTTATGGAAGTTTTTGTAAGGATTTGATCTTAAGGAAATATGCAATGAAAATATAAGAACAAAGTAAGATCTGATAATCTTCTCCCATGCCTTTCCTTTGGTGTCTTTGAAAAATTCATCTGAAAATATGCCTCATAAAGAATAATATCCCATAGCAAAATAATTATTGTCCCATTATAAGAGTTTATAGAAAATTAATGACATTTACTCAGTAGTATTTTGAACTATGATTATGTTAGTATGAAAAGTTAGTATTTACAGTCTAAGATAAAGTATTTGTAACTTTTTTCTTTAAGTTAACTCCATAATACTGAGTAGACAAAAATGCACTAAAAAGTGATTTTCTGAAATGCTATGAATATTTACTTTTAAGTTTCTAAATTTTATATAAGACATGAATTTTTTTTTAATATGTTGTTGTTGTTATGTGCCGTCGAGTCGTTTTCGACTCATAGCGACCCTATGCACAACAGCCCTAAACCCTGCTCTATCCTGTGCCAACCGCACCGCCTCTGACAGACCCATCCCAATTACCCCAGTCACCG